TACTATTTGGTTCCGAAATAAGATTATAAATTTTTAAATTTAAATTCGACTTTTAAATACACTACTGATCGATTGCTTATATTGAGTTTCTGCTTTGCAAACAAGTTGAGGTTATAATTGTAAGTTTATTTGTATGAAATAAGAAATAATATATGTGACATTTGGATTTTATGCTACCATTTTTCTAAACAGGTGGTAGTGAGTCATTCACTTAAATATTGAGTAATCTTCAATAATGTGTAACGAAGATTTCTCTGAAACCATTAAAATAACGTATATAAATAATCGTATGTCAAAATGTGTGCCTATTTCAATTTTGCACACATTTTGACAGAAATTTGAATGAAATTTAGAGGTTTTTCTTCAAATTTGAATGATGCTTGTCAGAAAAAGTGTCAAAATGTGTGCAAATGTGTGCATTTTATCCATCTCCTTCTCTTTTCAATTTTGTTTTATAATCTGTCAATCGAGGCTCGCGAATTCTAATTGAAGGAATAAAACCTGTTTGAAGTAAATCGTTTTTAATACGATAAAAGTAATTGGGTGCAACTTCTTCTAAAAGATTTTTGACAAAAACATCAATTCTTTGATTTTTAACGCAGCCAAAATCGTGATATTTTATCTTTTTAAATAAAGATTCAGAAACGTTATTCACAACGGTTAATTCATTTGGTCTGGCAGCGGCTATCCACTGTTGTTTATGAATGTCCCACTGACGTATAAAGTATTGATTAAATTCCAATTGATCTTGAATTTTATCAATAATGTGCTCTTTATACATTTTTGCAGCATCTTCTTCTGTGCAATCACGATAATAACATAAAATGTTCATAAATTTTTCGACTTCTGATCTAATCTCTTCATCATTTATCTTTGAGAGATTCTTTTTAAGTGCGCGTATTACATGTAGCGCGCACCAAAAGATATTGCACTCCGGAAATGAATTCCTAATCCCGTTGAAAATGTTTAGTGCACAGTCAGACATGATAAATTCAGGTTCTGTGTGAGTTGTTTCAAAATATTTACTTAAGCAAAAAGAAATATTTTCACTATTATCTGGATATATTATAAAATAACACAAAGGGATAGAATGAGTATTAGCAAATTTGGTAGCTAATACATAAAAAGGAAATCCATGAATAATTAATTTAAACGTAGAGTCTAAGTGATAAATTGGTGGTTTTTCATGAATTTGAGAGATCATATCATTATCAGAGTAAATAAAAACCAATTTGTCTGGAAAATCAGTATCTTCACCTTGAATGTCAAAATAAATAAGGTCATCATGTTGATCTTCCCATTGATTAACATAGTTTTGTAAAGATTGAAATTGATTTAAAGATATGTCTGGTAAAGATCTCATAAGATCTTTTTGTTGTAAATAATATTTCAATTGATTGATTGCAGTTTGTTTCATAGTCATGTGAATACAAGTATGATCTTTAGGTATTTCAAGCGTTTTGTTGACTTCTTGTGTTGCATTAAGTGGACTTCCGTGATTCATGAGAAATTTTTTAATCCAAGCACGGTAAGTACCACTTGTAGGTGTATTTTTATGTTGTGGTGGTGGTCCTGAGTGAATATGAGTTAAGTTTGCAGATTTAAAAATGTAATTGTCGAAATTTTTAATAAATTTAAAGCCTGCTGGGCAGCCTTCGTATTCGCATCGGTGGTAGATTAATACTCCTGTTCCAATTGATAGTTTTTGTGGGTCTTTGACAAATCTTATGTTACCATGCAGCTCTGCAGCTATAACAAAACGAGAATATTCTAAATATCCTATGGCTTGATCAACCTCGCATGGAGGATCGGGTGGAGGATGTTGCATTGAGCAGCAAAAAGGAAAAATAAAATTGAAAACTCACATTGAAAAAATAACGGTTTAATAGAAAATATTTTTTTTCTTCTGAAAAAGAATTATCTTTGAGTATCTAAATTGGGATAAAGGATATAGAATAGATAACTAGTACTTAATATATGATACATGTACACGAAATGGAAGAATGTGTACTAAAAGAAAGAGAAATTTTAGCTTAATATTTTACATACGAATCAATTATCTTTGGTTAAAAGGTAGAATTGTTGGCTATGATGTACTGATTCATGATCAGTACATCATAGCCAACAATTCCTTATAAAATTCAAAAACTTGGGTGCAATCAGTTCTGATTGCACCCAAGTTTTTGAACTTTCTTGAGGGAATGGAAGGGTAAGAGTATACATTATGAATATATACCTCTTACCCTTCCATTCCCTCTCTGACAGCGGGAAACTTTGTCTGAATGTTAAACTATTCAGACAAAGTTTCCCGCTGTCAGCGAAAGAATTGTTCCATCTGGTGCATAGAGTGTGAATCTATGCACCAAATGGAGCAAGTCCCTCGCGAAATTGCCCAAACTTGCGTCGCATTTCAAAGATTGCGACCCAAATTTTGGCGATTTCTAGTAGAGATGGAGTATTTTGAGTCACTGACCTATATGCAGTGGCTCAAAGGGCTCCATCTCTACTTTGAAGCAAGGAAACTTTCCTCGAAATTTTGATAATTTGAAGAAAGTTTTCAAGCAATTAACAAAGAATTACTCGCTATGAGGTAAAAATTCTAGATTTTCACCTCATAGCGAGAGCTTCCCTTTCATTGCTTGAAAACTTTCCCCAGCTTCAAAATTGGGGAAAGGGCTGTAAAGTCGACTCCGATACCAGCAGGTACCAGAGTATTTAAAAGAAAAGCCCTCGTACGAGTTTCTATGAAGACCTTCTCATTCAAGAAGATCTTAATAGAAAATCGTACGAGGGCATTGGAAACTCGCGTCTGGTACATGTTGGTACCAGAGTGTTTGAGATTTGAAGACTCTGGTACTAACATGTACCAGAATTTATGATGAATTTAAGATGGACCATTATAAAATGGTAGCGGTTTGTTTCAAAAAATTTTAGATGAGATTTGCATAGATATAGATTATATTGTTGCATGCTAAGTTCGGTCAAAATGTAAACCTCTCAATTTTATCGTCGGGGGAAGTAACTCAATTCCTTCAAAATTATTCTTTAAATATTGAATTTAAAGTTATTTAATTTGGATTATAAATAAATAGGCTAATACAATATTTAAAAATGAGAAAAAATAACTTTTCAAAGAACTTTTCATAATCTCAAAGAAAATTTTTTATTCAATAATTATATAAATTAATTAACATTCATAATGGAATTGAATTTTTTTATAAAAAATTGGTCCTACTTAACTTTTTGAGAGAATTTGGCTTTTCATTTTTTATTATGAGTAGACCAACCATTCCTTCTTGGTGGTTAATTCAAACACGCGAAAAACTTGAATCTCGCGAACTCAATTATTTAATTGCGTGTAAGCGAGTTCCATACGAGGATGAAATGAAGTGTGAATTTAGATCAATTTCGAAAAACACACTTAAAGCAGCATACACAAATGCAAATTTTGTTGTGCATGAAAAATAGCGTAACTTCACTTTTGACAAAAAGTGACACTATTTCTGATGGTTTTGTCATTTATTTGTCAGATTTATAAATGGATAATAATGCTGTAAATCAGATATTAATTAAAAATATTTACGATTTATGTTCGAATTGAAAAGCAAAATGATATTTTGTTAATTGAAAAACGTTAATATCTGATATTTTGAAGTTTTTAATATTTGTTAGTATCTTAAATTATTGAATGCATACGTTTTTTATGTTCTCAATTTTAAAAAAATTGTGAAGAATTTAGTTTTTTGGAGATGGATGTTTAATATTTGTGAGTGAGAATGCAAGCAGGAGTTTGGTACTTTAAGGCTAGGTTGAGATAGATTTCCCATTATATTATCTGTGAATATATTGTTTGAAAATTCAAGATATAAAAATATATTATCAAAAATTTTTATATTTTTAAATACAATAGGGTGGAAATATAGTACGATGAGATAGCAATGATATATTTTATAATGGGAGGTAATCTGAAGATAAGTAGCAAATTTTATGCGATTTTGATTGGGAGTTAGAGGGTGTGAGTACTATAGCATGTAATAGTATCTCACACCCTCCAATTCTTCCTATGGCGCCGAAAAATTTTTGGTGAAATGCGACGACATTTCACCAAAAATTTTCGGCGCCATATAGAGAACTATAGTCTGCGAGGTACTGATTCTATCTATGTACCTCGCAGACCATAGTTCTCAGCCAAAATGGCTAATAATTTGAGAGTCTATATGATAATGTAAAAGTTAAAACATTCAAGTATTTAAGTATTTCTTTAAAATATTAAGTTTTTTATTTTTCCAATAAAATTCTAATATCACATATTTTTATTTAACGATTAATTTTATTTATATTTTTATAGTTTTTTAAGAAAAAATATTGTTAGGGTTTTATGGATTTTCAATTAATATACAAGATAATTCATGAATGTATATATTTCCAAGTTTTTAAGGATGAAACACTTTACATTTGTAAACTGTCAAAAATGAAGTCACGCTATTTTTCATGCATTACACACAAATGCAAATTTAACGCCCCCAAACGTTAAACCTGGTCCGGCACCAGATGATATTACTCCTGAAAATTTGCAATATGTTCTCCAAAAATTTCAGGAATATAAGTGCGGAATCCAAAAGATGTTTTGGCGTTTAAACATGGATCAAAATGTTTATTCAGTTTCCTACAATAAACTCAGAAGAATTTACAGTATTTTGGAGATCAAAGAACCAAAAAGTGACATGCCCCCTCAAAAATATTATACGCTATATGAAGCAACAAAACCTGATACCATATGGCATGTAGATGTTCATTTTTTATACGGTTCACAGAGGTTACCTGTTTATGGTATAATAGACGATAAATCTCGGTTTTTGTTGGTTTTAAAAATTTTGCCAAATAAATCTTCCGAATCTACAACAAGAGTTGCCGAAGAAACGATTGGCTTATATCAAAAGCCATTTTGTTTCTGGTCCGACAACGGGGGAGAGAATATGGGCCAATTTTATAATTGGCTCATGCGAAACAACATTCAAATCCGCCACACTCTCCCCCATATGCCGCGCCAGAGCGGCAAGATTGAAAGGCTCTGGCCGTCTCTTGAAAGAAATGTCGGCCGGTCTTCAAATGCAAAACAAATTCAAGAATTTCTTGATAAATTCAGGAAAAATTACAACTCAGTACCACATAAAACCCTTCCCAAAAAGGGTTTTCGCCCCATGACTCCAGAAGAGTGTTACAATGAGACACCACATTGGAAACAGGGTGAAACGCCATTTTGGAGAGTTATGATTGATGGACACTTCGAAATCAAAGAAATACCGAACCATTGAATACACAATTACGAATAAACGCTTAATTTTTATAAAAATTTTATTACATTTTTCCTGAATTTTTAAATTGTACAATAAAGATGGAAGGCTTTGGGGTACATATTAATATAATATACCTCAAAGCCTTCCATCTCCACTACAAATGGGAGAAACTTTGTCCGAATAGTTTAACATTCGGACAAAGTTTCTCCCATTTAAAGAAAGAATTGTTCCTTATGAGGTATATATTCATACTGTATACCTCATAAGGAACAATTCCCTCCATAAAACGAGAAAACTTGTTCGCAATTGTTTATCATTTCGAACAAGTTTTCTCGTTTTTAATAACAAACTAAAGGCTATGAGGCACTGATTATATATTAGTGCCTCACAGCCTTTAGTTTCTAATAGATAGCTGGGGAACTTTCTCCAAATGATAAGTTATTCAGAGAAAGTTTCCCAGCTATCAAGAGGGAATTGTTCCTTATGAGGTATATAGTTATGATGTATACCTCATAAGGAACAATTCCCTCATTAAAATCGTAGATATTTTTTACTTATTACTCATGCTTTCAAAATCACAATCCTCTGAAAAGTTATTTTTTATTAAGAATTTAGAATTTTGATAAATACCTTTTTTCAATTTGATATAATACTTATATATTTTCAAAAAGACATTTTGAAAAGATATCTCAAAAGTTCTCTGAAAACCTATTTTTGATTAATTTTGAGAAATATCCGTATTAAATTAATCAATAAATTCATTCAACACTACTTTAATTTTTAAATTCAAAAAATTATATGTGCTTCTTAAAATGTCTCACAAAAATTTTATTATAAAATTATATACAATATTAAAAATCCCACAACATTTTTTTACTTTACATAATCGTACTTCCTCGACGATTAATTTCCCCTCAATTCCTATCATTGACCGAACTTTGCATGGAACAATATGATTTATACATATGAAAAATAATATATAAAAATATAATTTTGAGATAATTATGTAAATAATATTTTAAATATTTGAATTTGAGGTATAATTTTATAGTAAAATATATTATAAAGAGTATTTATATAAATATTGTAAAATAATATAAGTAATAAAAATTGAGACCCCTCCCTGTTTTTGATGTTTTGTCACTTTTTCGGTAATTCTTATTGTTTCAATTACTTTTAACATTTGTGTTTGCAGTATATATTTCTTCCATGAAATTTTTACCATTAACTTGAAGACCATCAGGAAAGTTAGGAGATAATGTTTCAATAATATCTTCACCATTAATTTCATATGTATCTTTTTTTTCCTTTAATGTTTTGAATTTTTAAATCATTAATTTTAATAGCTGATGGGAAATATACTGGTTTAGCATCTTCAGGTCTATTTTGATCAGCATAGTTTCTAATAATTCATCATAAACTTTATCAAACTCGTTTGACATTCTGTTTAAAAAAAATTAAAAAGATTTAAATTTTTTCTAAAACTTTTGATAATGTTTGATTTAGTTCATCTACTTTTGTTTCTAAACTATTAATTCTTACTTTCGTTGATTTGATTTGACTTTCTAAATCTTTACCTTTTAATTTGATACCTGAAGAGAATGAAACAGGTGCTGGTACTTTATTTTTATAATAACCAACAATTTCTCTGACATAAGATATTCTTTGAGCTAAGAATTCATAACAAAAAATAATTGAAATTTCATTGAGTTAAGGTGTTGTACTTGTACCAAGATATGATTGAAATAACGAATTCTTTTGTGAGCGCATCAATGGAATTTTCTGGTTTGAACTTTGTAATTGTTTCATGTGTTTCCTTTTCAATGATACGTTGAAGGTTTCCCAGATACATTGTTGAGAGTTCATTAAATGTTCCCTGAAGATCAATACCTATAAGCTTATAATTGTACTTCTGGTAACTAGTTGTAAGAAATGTCTAATGATTGGAACCATGGCATCAGCTGAGTATCCTTTGGCAATGTGAATGGCTTGGAGATCATACTGTATACTTTGTTTCTTACCGAAATGGACAACTAAAAAGTGACAGTTATGGCAGGAAAATTCGCCAAAAAACTTTAACCTTAAACTTAGAAATCTAGAGATTTATTAAAAATCTATTAAAGGAATAAATGTTATATAATTTTAATATATTAAAAATAATTATTTAAATATATAATTATATAAAAAACATTTTTATGCAATAAGAAACAATTTAGTTTTATATATCAAATAAAGGGTAAGTGGTATACATTATAAATATATACCTCTTACCTTTCCACTCCCTCTCTGACAGCGGAAAACTTTGTCTGAATGTTAAACTATTCAGACAAAGTTTCCCGCTTATAAAAGAACATTTGTATACAACCTGATCTACACGCCCTACCCGTTTAAATATAATATATTTTATTTCAAATTTTAAATTCTCTTGTGCTCATATCTTTCAATTTTCTAAAAACTTCTCATTTAGATATTTTAGTTATAATTCTCAGTTTCTCTAGCATGTATATTATGTGATTATGTAAAAATTTTTAAATATATAAAAATTAATTTCGATTTTTCCTTCTAAAGTTAGCGAGATCCTCTTTTAGGTCGCGCTCTTCGTGTTCGACAATCCATTTGGCATTTTCTTTATCTTCAACGAGATTCCAAAAGTTATTTTTTCATGAATAACTAATAATTAATTACCATATTGCCTTCCTAGGTTCATTCCCGCTTCTGTATCTGTTGATATTCTGAGGTCTTTTATCAACAATTTTCTTTACTCCAACATTTAATCCCGGATCGATTTTTGTTTTGAAATTTATGACATGATAATTTTCCCGAATGTAGTCAGAAATTCATGCCACTCGCAGCACACATGAATAGCGCTTTTTACATTCTCAATATTGATTCGTTTATGGAATATAAGGGCAAGGATGGGAATGACTCCAATCGGGGGAATTAAAACTCCCCGATTGGACTCCCTTCTTATATCGCAGTAAATTCTTGATGGATCATCATGTGAGTATATACAAATAGATATTCATTTGATAGTAGTATATTATCATGTAATTAGTTTCTTCATTGGAAATAATCACTTCGGTTAGATCAGAAAAAACCAGAATTTTCGAAAAAGTGACACCAACTATTAAAGTTATTTTATTACTAGATTTATTTACAAATTATAAGATAATATCATTAACAAAATATATTTTTAATATAAATAAAAAACTTTTTTATACAAAAAATTACAATCAATCGATAAATATTATAAAACATTTATTCCAAAAAGATTAAGTAATAGGTGGGATCCTGCATATAATATAATTTTATGTCATAAAGCTTACAAATTTTAGATGGACCACAGTGAGAATGTGAGTGGTTAATTTAAAGGTGGTCTGATAAAGACATCGAAGCTTACTCAACACAGCATGAAGCAGTTTCTAATACACAATCTTACTAGTGGTGTTTCGGTCGCCAGCGCTCTCATAGGGGTGCTGATTTCAAAAACCACTACTTCAAATTATTCAACAATACTCAATGCAGCATGAAGCAGCTAATACTGCTGTATCTTACTGGTAGCGTTTTGGTCGTTGGCTCTTGCACAGTCTCTCAGATTTTCAAATTTTTTTTTCAACACTATCTTGTTTCGCTCTCAGAAAGCTATCCTACAAAGACATCGAAGCTTACTCAACACAGCATGAAGCAGTTTCTAATACACAATCTTACTAGTGGTGTTTCGGTCGCCAGCGCTCTCATAGGGGTGCTGATTTCAAAAACCACTACTTCAAATTATTCAACAATACTCAATGCAGCATGAAGCAGCTACTAATAAATATATACATATATAAATATATACATATATAAATATATACATATATAAATATATACATATATAAATATCATATATAAATATATACATATATAAATATATACATATATAAATATATACATATATAAATATATACATATATAAATATATACATATATAAATATATACATATATAAATATATACATATATAAATATATACATATATAAATATATACATATATAAATATATACATATATAAATATATACATATATAAATATATACATATATAAATATATACATATATAAATATATACATATATACATATATAAATATATACATATATAAATATATACATATATAAATATATACATATATAAATATATACATATATAAATATATACATATATAAATATATACATATATAAATATATACATATATAAATATATACATATATAAATATATACATATATAAATATATACATATATAAATATATACATATATAATATATACATATATAAATATATACATATATAAATATATACATATATAAATATATACATATATAAATATAATATATAAATATATACATATATAAATATATACATATATAAATATATACATATATAAATATATACATATATAAATATATACATATATAATATATAAATATATACATATATAAATATATACATATATAAATATATACATATATACATATATAAATATATACATATATAAATATATAATATATACATATATACATAATAAATATATACATATATAAATATATACATATATAAATATATACATATATAAATATATACATATATAAATATATACATATATAAATATATACATATATAAATATATACATATATAAATATATACATATATAAATATATACATATATAAATATATACATATATAAATATATACATATATAAATATATACATATATAAATATATACATATATAAATATATACATATATAAATATATACATATATAAATATATACATATATAAATATATACATATATAAATATATACATATATAAATATATACATATATAAATATATACATATATAAATATATACATATATAAATATATACATATATAATATATACATATATAAATATATACATATATAAATATATACATATATAAATATATACATATATAAATA